TGAAGAAACCCCTCCAGAGGAAGAGACGGAACCTCCTCAAGAACTTCCTCCAGAGGAACCGGTGGAACCAACTGAAGAAACCCCTCCAGAGGAAGCGGTGGAACCAACTGAAGAAACCCCTCCAGAAGGACGCTCTGGCTTCTTATTTGGATAAGAGAATGTTTTACAACTTCTCCAACCCTCTTTAAATTGTCGGTATTGGTTTCTTTGACAAGCTACAGTTTTGGCATTCCATCATGTGAAACTGGTCTGACAGAACTAATTTGTATCAGCGCCTTAATGAAATTCTGTACAATTGTGTGTACTAACGGTAAACGTGAAATATTTTCAGCAACATCCATTACGAGCATCAGGCTTTTTTTCGTAGAAGAAGGTGCGTACAATCAGCCCACGTTTCGAGTAAAATGAAAAAGACGAGACGAAATTTAATTAAATGTGAAAGAGTGGCGACTTGTTATCAGACGCCTTTGAGAAAAATAATGCTATTTGAATAGCAATCGAAATAAAAAAATGTATGTTATCAGCCTCTTCTGTTAACGTTTTTGGTTCGCGTATTGTTGACCGGGATCGAACGAAGTGAAACTCAATGATTTTGGGTCCCCTTGGTCTTCTCGACTACGATTTCTATACGTTGTGACTCGTCGTTCGGCACAAGTGAATCAATTTCCTCTAGCTTCTTGTTAGGGGGATCATAAGTGTCAATAATTTCCTGTCGTAGCGCATCAGCTGACTCTTGATGGCGCTGACGTTCTTCCTGTTCTTTGTCGGTCCCTTCTCCAGACGAAGGAACTGCTGCAAGGACTTCCAGAAGTTCTGCAAGACTGTACTTGGTGGCATACAAATCGGGATGATCGCTTGGAAGTAGTTGGGTCCGTACCTGCTGTACGTTTTCGTACAAGTCTTTGGCTTCGTACAAGTTGTACTTGCGACCCGGCGAGTCTTCATCCATCGTCATGGCAAGGGATTTGAGAAAGACGGCTAGATTCTGAGCGGCCGAAGCGGCAGACAATGTTGTGATAGAGAAGCTCGAACCAGGGTTACCCGGGATTTTGTTTTGTAGCTGCTTAATGTGTTTCACCCCACCCCCGTTCTTCCTAAATTTGTTGCTGTTTTTACGATGTTGATTGTTTTTGATCTGCTTTCCTCTCGGATTATCGATTGCTGTTTGGAGGGATTCTCTCAAGTGCTCTTCTGCTGCCCTCCATTGTTGTTCTGTAATCTGCTGAGGATTGAGAGCGACGTATTGTTTCCGAATCTTTTCACTACCTTCTGTATTATTTTCGACCAGTTTGTGCTGATACAAGACCTGCGCTGCAAGCGTGGATCCGATGGCCGACCGTGTAGCTATCGTGTGCGGATGCTCCACACCCAGCTCTGCGATTCGAACGGCATAGGCTTCTTCCAAATATTCCAAGGCGGACTCTACCAAAGACAGTCTATCCGTGGCTTTCAGCGAAGCATCGAAATGTACTTGTGATTTGTTCAGGTTTCCTAGATTGTGCAGGGTCATGGCATAACTCGCATGGTCTCTTCCACACACACTAGCATACACCCGCATGGCGGCCACATAGTGTTGTCGGGCTTCTGTAAAGTTCCCCAAGAGTTTGTGCATCAAACCAACGTTGTTCATTGCCGAGGCCGTGGCAGGATGATCGACGTTGTATCCAAAGTGTTGCTGTGTTTGCTTCAGAAGGTCTTGCGATGTGGCGAGTGCGTTCGTGAAATTCCCTCGTTTGTACTCCTCGGTTATGGTGGCTTGGAGGTCAGCCAGTCTCAACTCGGCGTCTTTGTCCGGCATTTGCACCGGTGGATTCTCACTTCTGGTACTACCACTCTCTTCATTTTTGCTGCTTGGATTGATTTTTGTGGTCGAAAAATGGCGAATGCAATTTCGATGACTTAGTTGAAATTTCTGCCTATGGTTTAGAACTCCTGCATCTGGTCCCTTTAGATATATTGTACTTGGTGTCAGGCAGCAAAATCTTCGCCCACGATTATTCTCCGCAGAGTGAATACAATCAATACTTCTACCGATTGTGGAGCTGAGCGATCGACTCCCAAATCCACGTCGGCCCACAATCGAGTTAGGATAATATCGGTGTTGTTCACCGATGGATTGGGTCCAATTTTGTTTCGTTTGCAGCGTTCTATTCGAAATCGAACCACTCGCAATCAATCGTCTCTCAATGACGCACGAAGCTCGCGACATGAATAACATCGACGGCACCAACATCAGCACCAACCCAATGACGAAAACTTCAATATTAATACGTTATGGTGCCGTGCTATGCTGAAGCGTACAGACAACACGAAAATCTTCTCGATCGAATCTCGGTGTCCGAAACTATCCGACAGAACTGCCAAATTGACGCGTCGGCGGTGATTCTACTCTTATGCAAGCAGCACTGCTGAAGACCTCCCCACTTTTGACTGCTTTTGTGCTGGTCGAGAAGTTTGAGGATAAAACGGCGCAAGTAACTAACAGTGTCGCTGTTATATTCAAGTATACTACGGATCAAACTAACGCTGTCACTTCGTTCTGAGATAAATGGTGATCATCATCCTGAGATCTCTCGAAACCATTATTTTTGTGATGATGATGGTGATGATGATTCATGATGGCATGCTCACCAAGGCTCGGACGAAAATCTATCGGTACCTTGTACCGTACGTACCTAATGGAAGACTACAGTACGTACCGGCAGGTACTATTGGTACGTCGGACTACTCTAGCTCGAAAACCAGCGAACTAAAGAGTCTGTGATTACTCCGACTCAAAATTCAGTTTGGATTGTTGAGAACAATCATTGGGTGATTCACATTAATCTAGATTGACCAAATGTCTAAATTGACTGGCTGAAGTCAATCTAGACAAACAGAAAAGAGACCAAATGCTGGTTTGCATGATGCCAGTTTTTAGGGAGTTTCTTGGAATCTTAAATACTTACATTGGGTCATTCCCAATAACATATATCGCGGTCGTATGTTTTCGGGAATCACATTCAGTGGTACAGAAGACACAGACAGACAGCTCAACTTACATATTTTCCCCCCATTTTTGGAATTTGGAATCCTGTATAAATTGCATGCAATTTGACAAAATTCCAAAGTAGCGGGAACTTTGGGATTTTCACTAAACCAGCTCTGCCTTCCAAACTTTGGAAAATCCTTCTCCAAAATCGAATCCTCCTCCGAAAGAAGAAAAGAATATAACAACAACAAAGAAAACAGTTGGTATCCTCACTATTTGGCAATCAATTGCTCCTTCACAGAAAAAATGTCCTTTCAGTTAGTTTGAATTGCATTGGCGGCTCTCCAGCAGCAGCAACAGGAGGAGGAGGAGGAAACGTGCCATCGGCTGTCCCTTCAGGACAAGCGCCGTTGAGACAGGAGGTTGCCAAGGATTGCACTCATGAAAGTGAATGCCTCTCCATTCACTTATCTGTTTGGTAGTGGTGACAACMAAGCTMTTCTCAACTGCTGTGGTGTGGACCATCCTGTCTTCAGGGATCTCCTCAGCCTCTTTCAACCAGTTTTTCAYGGATATACAGTCGACAAAAACACTGAGCAAATCAGACCTCAGCTATTTACCAAGGAAGGCAAACCCAAGKGGAAACCAAGACTGATAACCCCAACTGTTGGGCTATCGTTGGTGTTGACTTGGTACAGGACGCGTGGATCAGCAGCTAGGGCCTTGTCTACTATGGTATTTGGACTTACCTCCACTCCCCTGTACAGATGGTAGAGATTTTCTAGACAAGTCCTTCTTTTTGTGTTGCAAAAACACCCAAATGCAATTATTAGGCCCCCAATCAATGAAGAAGTAGAGCAATTTGTGTCAGCAATAGCAGGGAAGTACCCGACACTTGGTAAAAGGAGGGTCTGGGGTGCAGCAGATGGCCTCAAAATTAAGCTCGAACACTCTACCAATTGGCATATTCGGGCCATGTACTATAATGGGTGGGGCATGGATACTTACATTAACAGTTGCCTTGTCTTTTCCCCCGACGGACAAATCCAGATGACGACATTTAACTGTCCTGGGACTTTCCATGACAGCACCATGGCAGATTATGGCATATGAGAAGCTGGAGGCCATATATAGAAGGAACGAGGGGTCAGTTGTTGTCGACTCGGCCTTTAAGGTCAGAGGGGCAAAGTATCTCATTCGAAGCCAGCAAAACGATCCAGATAAATTCCCCACAATGGCAGAGAACAATCACGCTATTGTACTTAACCAAGAAGCCACAGCAGTTCGACAGTTGTCAGAATGGGGTATGYGAATGATCCAGGGGCAATTCCCMAKAWTGAAAGAAAGAATGAAACTGGAGGAACTTAGTGATAGGAAGGTTATTATTAACCTCATGTTGTTRTTGTATAATTATCAGTGCAGCAAGGTGGGCATTAATCAGATCCTCAACAGCTTCATGAGCGACACGAGTGGCTTTGAATCCTTTGAAAAGCTGAGAGAATCCTATGGGAGGAGACAGATAGGATACTTTGCTTACCAACTTCAGCCCAATGGGGACACCAATAGCTCATTCCCTGGCTTGTTGTCGTGAGGATTGTCGATTGCGTTGCATATTGTTGATTGCGTTGCAGATTGTCAATTGTCGATTGCAGATTGTCGATTGTCGATTGCGCCATGGTTGTTTCAGTTATTGCCATGGTTGTTTCAGTTATCTAAGTGTAATGAATTACTAATTACTATTTCTACAGTTACTCCAGTTACTCCAGTTACATTATGAAGAGTGACGAGTGAGCAAAAAGGAGCAAACAAGAAGCTACCTACACGATACACCGTGTTATTTGAGTCCCTTTCCCACTGTAGCGCTGTGTTATTTTGTGTTGCCAGTTTTCGTGGGGACCTTCCCACAAAAACCAGTACCGGTAACTAAGAGGGAACGCGTTGGAATCCCACAAGATTGCTGGCATGCTTTGGTTAACATAGAGCTAACTCATTGCACGGGAACCAACAAGTTTTCGTGTGAACCTTTTACATGAAGTATCGCATATACTGGATTCCTTTCTTATTCCATTTTACACGTAGTATCATGTATACTGGATTTAGAAGCAGTATTAGTATTCAGTACTCATAAATCAGTGTAGCAAGTGGAGCAAACGAAACTTGAAGAAACCTCCATCTAAGAGTTCATCATCCTCTGCAATCCACATGGCTTCTGCCACGTTCTGGGGATCATTGAAGTGATCTATTGGCTTCACATCAATGGTTGAACCTAACCATCTGATAGTGCGAGTGGAATAGAGAAGATCTATTCCTGTCAACATTAAGAAGTCTCTCCCTAGGATCATATCGTATTTACAAGGAGCTGAAAAGAGCCTTGCATTGATCMMTCGTGTATATTTGCCATTACCAAACTCTGGGAGCCAAATGTTGGATATGAAGACATACTTGGATGTGTCAAAGCTTCCCTGAGCTGTTGTGGTGACTGAGCTGAATCGGTCCTGGAAGGGGACTGTTCCTGGTGGAAGGCAACGCTCGTGAATAAGGCACATTGTACTCCCACTATCTAATAGAATCTTGAATGTGTTCATTGTTGGTAGGCCTTGGATGGCTTTGCACACTAGGATGACAGTTGGTAATACATCCTGTAAATTTGGTGGTGTTTTCAGAGCTCTCAAGGTGACTGCTGTTGGATTCTTGAGAGCTTCTTCATTATCAGGACCATAAAGCTCAAGGCTGTCTGCTGGTGATTGAGTGGAAGGTAATGGAGGCAATGCAAAGAAAGCCTCTTTTGGATGTCACCACTGTTGATTTGGGCCTTGTCCTTGTCCTTGTCCTTGGAATTGAATTGTCGAGCCCGGATTGCTGTTGGACTGTAGTGATATGTGGCTTGGAGGACCACTGGAGTTGGAGCCATGATAATTCTGAGTTTGGATCGACTGTGGTTTCATGTTTCCATGTTCATCCATATAATACAATCCTGGAGTGAACCTCTTACTGCTGTTGCTTGCATTTGAATTTCCCTGGCTTCCTCTGTTGCTCGGATTTCCTCCGTTGTTATTGCTCTGATTATAACCCTTTTTATTGAACCGACACTCGCCCCAAGGATGTTGTCCCTTATGTATTCTACAAGGCGTTGCATTGATTCTGTTCTGTCTCTCTTCCGGGGTCTCATTCTGTCTGTTTGCACTGTTATTTCTATCACTGTTGTTATTACCTCTTCTCCTTTGTTTTCCATTATTCCTTCTGCGTTGTCTTGCATTAGTATCTGTAGTATCATCTGCTGGTCTTTTCCTTGAACGTTGCTGCTGTTCTTCATCTGCCATTCCTTTTTGTTCGGCCATGAACTCTACGATTTCTTCAATCGTGTCTCTCAGGATATCTCTCCCACACTTTTTGTAATCATTCTGCCAGGATTTGGGGAAGGATTTGAAAAGGATCTGTTTGATCTCTCTTTCTGATAAGGGCTGACAGACGCCATGAAGAATGTTGGCTCTGGCGCAGCATCTCTCAATTTTGTCGGCGTGTGCTTCACAGGAGATTGAATGAGGTTTTCTTACTGCTTCTGATTTYAAGTAATCAATAACATCGTCCCTGGCACTCTTGGATGAAGCATAAAACTTTCTGAAGGTAAGGAGAGCTGTTTCCCAATGTGCTTTGCTCTTTCTTGTGACTCGTTCACTTAATCTGTTGTTGCGCCACATGTTATTCCACTTCTGTCTGGGCCCATGTGCCAAGACCGTGAGCCAGTTCTCGTCTATTTGCTCATCCCTCAGTTTCAAGTCGAACGCTGCATCCTCAAAGGCTTCCTGTACATAGAATAACTCCTGTACTCCATATTGTCTGGAGAAAACCACACAGGTTCTTTTCTTTCTCATTGCAGGAATTTCCATTGTTCTCTGATTATTTCCTCTTCCTGTTATCTCTGTCCTTGCTGGGTGATCCACAAAGAGACTGACCCTATCAAGGTCACTCTTCTTGAACTGGTTAAGGGTAAGGCATGATAGATGTGAATGTTGATATCGTGTGGATGTGGAGTTCTTTGGTTTCACCATGGTCGATGTGATGTTTTGGTTGATTTTCTTAAGGGTTGATTAATTTTTGATACACGAAAAATCACTTAGTAATTACTGTGCATGAGATTACGTGTACTCTTAGTATGTTTAAGTGTGTATGAAATTGAAAATTATAAGCCTAGAATTATTTGAAGATTACCAAGCGCGTTCACGAGAATTCCGAAGTTCCGATCAGAAGCGCATGTAGACCTGGTAGGGAGTCTACACGGAGCTTCTCTATTCCGGACTCGTGACATCTCTATTCTTCGTGAGGTATTCTTGAATAGTATCTTAGACCTCTTACGATCCTCAACCAAAGGAGCACATGATGGATCGTATGATCTATATATATGAATAGTATATTATGATATGTAGGTAGGAATGGTATGTCCTTCCATTCCGAGGGAGCATTGTATGTACGCATGCTTCCTTTCCAGTACGTATGTATCCATTCCAGTACGTACATATCCTTTCAATACAGTAGGTACGTATTCTTCCAATACAGTACGTACGTACGTTGCAGCAAGGAGTTGTGGAGCAAACAGCAATCAGCAAACAGTAGTTTAATTTAGTAATCTTAATTAGAATTTAACCATGGGATTTGAATCCTCACTGTCCTCTGAGTCCTCAGAGGAGGAGGACAAGTCCTCACGCTGTCGCTGTCGCTGTTGCTGTCGCTGTCTCTTCCTCTTCTTCTTTTTCTTCTGGACAAACGCGCTGGCAACAACACGTACCATATCTTTGATTTCTGCCAAAGTATGCTGGTACTGTTGAATGGATGCTTCTTGGTAAGCTTTATACTGTTGCATTGATGCTTGAGCAAGCATTTCTTGGTGCTTCATGGACATGTTGAACATGGATGTGATATCTGTGTTGATGCTGCTGGTACTGGTGGAGCGGCTGGTGGCTGCTTTTGAGTATGCTCTCTTGAGGGGAGCGCGAGGGCGAGGAGTGCTGTTCACCAGGTGAGGAACAATCAATGCGTGAGTTGATTGGGTTGTTTGCTGTGTTTGCTGAGTCAATTGGGACTCATATTGCTGAGTTCTTGTTCCTTGAGCAAGCTGCACCATCTGAGTTGCAGCAAGCTGGGTTGGTGTCTCCTCCTCAAGCTGAGTTGGCGTCTCAAGCTGACGATTTGGCGTCTCAACAAGCTGGTGAGTTGGCGAAAGCCTCTCAAACCAAGGAGTGAGAAGCTCAGCAGTTTCTTGGGTAAGTTGGGAAGGCTGTGTAAGTTGCCAGTGAGGAGGAGGATTTTCACCAGTGTTGTTGTTGTCGCTGTTCCCAAAAGTGCCATTATCCTCACTAATCTTGTATCCTTCTTCCAGATCAAACTCCTCTTCCCCATCTCCAATGGCTGCCTTGGCACCAATCAAGTCCTTGATCTCCTTTGCAAGCCTGATTGCTGGAGACATGTACGGATTCCCAGTAGGAATTTGTTTCCTGTGGAGGGAGGAGTACTTCCTGATGATGGAATCCTTGTCTCTTCCAGTCCCCCAGTTCTCTTCATGGGTATCAACAACAACTGCCCATTGTTCTGGTTCAATAGGAATGATCCTCCTCATGAGTGTCAGCAAGTCCATGGTCTCTTTATTGGTGTAGTTGATGGAACCTTTGGATCTTCCTCCTCTTTCTTGAGCAATTGACCTTGCTGGACGCGTTGCTGCTGTCAACGTTGCAGCTGTTGCTGCTGTCAACCTCCTTGTTGCACCAGCGGCTGTTGCTGCTGTTGGTGCTGGAGCCAACCTTGCAGCTGTTGTTGCTGGAGCTGGAGCTGGAGCTGGAGCTGGTGGAGCCATGATCCTTTTATGAGCCAGCAAAGAGGAGGATGGTATGCTAATCACATACAGGATGTCATCTTCTTCCCTCTCAAGGTGAGAGCGCTGGCTCTCTTCCCTCCTCTTAGCAAGCACTTGCATCCTCCACAACAGAAGAATCTGGATGCTAGGGTTRCAATTAATTAGAGGGCTCCATGCGCCAACCATCCTCAGCATTGTTTCTCTTTGTTCCTTGTTCCTTCTCTTTGTTGTTCCTTCTCTTTGTCATTCCTTCTCTTTGCCGTCGAAAAGATCATGTGCTTTTTCCTTGACACTTGAATTGAAAGAAGTTTGCCGCCAGTTAAGGGCGACTGGAAATGGTGAAGTCAAGGATTCCAATAAAAAAATATGTAAATTACATAAAAGTTGGTTGTCGTGGGCCCACCACAACCAACTTTTATGTATTTTGGGTCATAATGCAAGCCAGGCGTGCCAAAATTTACACAGATATATGTTATCGGGAATGACCCATTAGCTACTACTAGTAGTACTAGTACCAGTATGACTGAATAGTAGTAGTAGTACTAGAGTGCTGGGGTTGTGGGCTAGGGTACATGGGGAAACATGTCATGCTCAAATTTTAATTCCTGGATTCCAGCAGTCTAAATCTAGCAAGTTTTGAATGAGGTCTGAGGGTCATTCAAAAATGACTAGATTTAGTCAATCTATCAAATCTAGTCAATCTAGATTAACGGGAATGACCCATTATTGGTAACAAATATTGTTGTTTCTTTTATCCAGGAGAAGAGACAAGTGGGATGAAACATGCCACTGATAGTACCATTATTGTCACTAGCAGTAGTATTACTCAACAAGAGCCATTCAGAAAAACAAATGGTACCCAATAATGGAAAACAAAAAAAACAAGCAAGAACAAACATTTGAGGACACTCTACTACTAGTAGTGTGAGAAATGGATTGCAAGCAACAAGAACCTACTGGTAAAAGAACTCCCGTTCAATCCTAGTACACAACTGACACAAATCTCAACTGCACAACCACGCTACCACACATGAACAAAGAAAAAAATGCTGCACCAGAAAATGAAAACTTTGTCGACAGCAACATCTTAAACACAAAGCACCTACAGCTAATGAAACAATGACAAGGTTTTGTCACTCTTCGGCCTCAAGCCCAAATGTTATTTTGCTAATATTGTGCGCTACTTTCAATATAGAAAGGACGATTTTCATGGATATGCTCTTTGATAACGTCGAGAGAAGAAGAAGTCTTCAAGTGGCAGACACGGTCGCCTATCCGTGCGGCAATCCGGGGCTGCCGTGGTGCTATTGCCCACCGCTGCCGGGAAACAGAGCTACGGCAGCGTTTCTCGAGACAGAACCGAGCGGGACCGCCCCCTTTCAGAGTCCCGCACCGTGGCAGCGGCGTTGTGTTGCGCCAGAGAGTGCCGTGTCGCATCCCGCTGCCAAACAAAACGAAAACCACCGGGGCTTGAAGGCTGCGCCGACGCAAGGTGGGATTCCTTCGAAGGGCGTTTTCCGGGGCCTATCGTTTCGTCGATTTCTTCTTTTTGTTTTTCCAAGCCTCCGGAAAGACGTCCCCGGGGACCATCATTTCGTGTCGAAACGACCAAGTTTGATGGTGGTGGCGGCGGTACTTCTGGTCCTCGAAGTAAAAGGCATCGCGGGGGACCCCAAACAGAACGGCCCAGACAAGGTCTTGTGTTGTCGCTTCCCCGGTGCTGCTGCTCGCGCCGGTCGTCGTTTGGTTGTACCGTTCGAAGACTTCGACAAAGTAGGAATAGGAAACGTTGTTGTTGCTGCTGCTGCTGCTGCTGCTGTTGTTGTTGTTGCTGGAAGTGTGTCTCTGTCTTATCCGGCAGGGGAAGACTACTTCGTCGTCCCAGTCGTAGTGTTCGTTCCATTGTATCGTTGTGGTTCCCCCAGATTCGGTCCTGACCTGCAGGGTATCGTCGTCTTCCCCCGGCACAGTAGCGGAAGCACCGTACCACTCAACGTACGGCTTTCTACAAAAGAGGTGCAGGCCCTGGAGTTCGTAGTCCCCCTCCTCCAGGGTCTGGAGCTTCAGGTCCACCAATTTGTTGAGCTCAAAGGCGGGGAGGTGGTGCCGGAGGACATTCTCGCTTTCCGATCCGTTCGTTTCTTCCTCTCGATAGTAGGATCGGAGGTGGCGTTGCCAGGCCTCTTCCCATTCGTCTCCGTAATCGATGGTGATTTCTTCGCCCGGTTCGATGTCGCGGAGCGCCACGAAATCGAAGGAAAGCCCGGCCTTGTCCTGTCTGGCCCATTTCTTGATGGGTTTTTCCCTCCATTCGGGGTGGGCCATCTGATCGTCGGCCGCCCAGGCGACCCTGGTGTTGGGAGCCACCGCATCGTGGTTGATGTGCGAGGTCATCAGGCCGTAGGGACACAGCAAGAGGGTGCTTTCGCCGTGGCCAAAACAATAGTTCAGGAGGAGCTGGTGGTGGATCGGGTTGTCGTGATCGGTCGCCAGCCAGTAGGTCTCCTTTCCTTTCTTGTCCTCCGCTTCGGGTTTCTTGCCGTAGATGGTGAATATGTCCCGGTCGGAGATCTGGATGAGGGGGGCCGGTGCCACGATGGCGCCCTTCCGTATTTTTCTCCTGGCAAAGGCCCCCCGGCCGGCGTGTGGGATGGTGCTGACCCCGTCCCGGATGTTGTCCATGCACCGCCCGTGCTCGTCCAGCCAGTCCAGGTCGCGGATGCTCGAGTTGTAGTGCAACATGCCCGTGCCACCCGTTTTCTTGAGCAGCCAATCAACGACCGCGTGGTCGCCTTTCGGATCGGTCTGTGGAATGGCGTTCATGTTCCGGGACTCGTCCCAGATCGCGGCCATGCTTTGCAGGGATATCAGCAGGTCTTTCTTCACTTCCTCCGTCGCCACCTTTCGGGTGATGCGCTGGAAGGTCCTCAGCAGCCTGTCGGCATGTTTGTAGTTCTCGCGGAACGGAATCATCCCGTAGATGGAAGACCTGGACTTGAAGTACCCCTCTCCGTAGTTCCCGTAGAGTTCCATGCCGGCGGGGATGTAGCGTTTCGCCTTCCAGCGCCGATTGTAGTAGGGCGAGAAGGCACCGGCCCCGGGAGAAGACAGCGACCAGGCCGTGGCGTTGTTTCCCGGCACGGCCTCGATCCCGGACAAGCCCACTTTTCGGTTGTCGAAGTCGTCGACCACGTTCACCAGCGGCAGCATGCAATTGATGGCCGCACCCATTCCGGGAGAGCAGGCCTTCACCTTCTTGACATCGTCCACCTCCTCGCTCATCCCGCCGAAACCCGCCGCCCTCCACGTGTACTCTTCCCACAGAAAATGGTACTTGGCGTGCCCGACGTGCCGGGTCATATCGTACACCGGGACGACCAGGTCTCCGTCGTCCTCCAGCAGGTACTGGCCCCTCCTCACGTTCCTGTGACCCGCAAAGACGCCCATGCCGGCCCCCTGGATCGTGCTCGGAGCGAGGTACATCCCGCAAAGATCCTCGTTTCTCTTGTTCGACGACGACGATGTCGACGAAAGCGGGAGCAGCCAAAGCAGGGGAATCCCGAGGAACCACCGTGGGTGGTGGGAACGGATCATCCCTTGTGTTCTTCCTCCCGGAGGTCCGGTTTGTTCTTTCGCTCGGTCTCGAATCAATCGCGATCGCGGTTGCGAGCGACAAGAGGAATCGTTTTGGCAGATGACGTTGTATGCCTTGCCTTGAGTTTTGCCTTTCGCCTTTTGCCTTCAGCGTTGCGTCACGTCACGTCGTGTTTTGGCGGAAGAGATCTTTTTCCAAAAGCAATGGGATACAGAATTGGGAACGGAACGGCCGTGCGTCGAACAGAAATTCAAATCATACCATAGTAAGTATCCTACACTACTACTCGTACTGTTCGTACAATACGACGCAACATGTAGTCTACGTAATCGTAGTGGAGGTAAAGTATCGTACTGTACGGTAGTACCGTACAGAAAAAAATGCCATGCGGTACGATTGAAAAAACCTAAAACCATGGACTAACACTCCTCTCACAGCAAGTGATAAGTGTAACGATGGGAAGACCAAGATTTAACACTTCAACGGTTCGTTTGTTACGTAAGGTGCGGTACGTACTTTTACGCGTAGGCGTGCGACTCCTACCGAAAACAAGTCTTGCGGGAACCATGACGACACGAATCTGTATGATTATATACTTCGAGGAAGTGCGTACAGTAATACCGGTGATTGCTATGAGCTAAAACCATCAATTGCTTACCCGCAGAACAATGTTGAACCTTTCAAGTGCATTCTATAGAAGGACCACAAGTAGGACATTCGGTGCCTTGCCAGAGGAAGAAAGAATTCTTTGCGGCTTGGCGGAAAATCGGTAGATCGTTTCGTTACTGCTAATATACTGTATTCTATAATGTTAAGGTGTTCTACCGAATCGACCATCCCCGTGGTCTTGATTTGTTCAATTTGGTGGCTCTTCCTCGTCGTCGTACCGGCTTCCCTCCTTGCTCTAAAAGCTGCCCTCCTCGGGGTTTCCTTCCTCGCCGCTATAGTAGCTTCGCTCTTCGGAATAATAGCTCCGGCTTCCCTCCTCGCTGTAGAAGCTCCTGGAACCACCGGATACATCCTGGCTGTAAAAGCTCCTCGAACCAACCGATCCCTCCCGGCTGAACCTGCTCCTCGAGCCCCCGGATCCTTGCCCGCTGTACCGGCTCCTGGAACCACCCGATCCTTCCTGGCTGTGGTAGCTCCTCGGAACAGAACCTTCCTGGCTGTAGAAACTCCGAGAACCCTCCCCGTCTTGGCTGTAGAAACTCTTGGAACCCTCGTCGTCGTACGGTGGAACCTGACCCTGTTCTTCGTCGCCGTTTTGCGGGCCCTCTTCTTCGTCGTCGTAGAAACTCCTCGAGCCGCCGGAACCCTCTTCCTGACTGTAAAAGCTCCTCGAACCAACGGAACGGGAACCACCCTCGTCGCTGTAATAGCTTCGCGAGCCGTCCTCGAAGTCGCCCGAGTATTCCCGTTCGATCCCCTCCTCCTCGTAGTCTTCTTCTCCTTCTTCTGCGATCGGTTCCACGCCTCCACCCCCAAAGGTTCCAAAGCTGCCACCACCGAAGGTGTCGTCGCCGTCTTCGTCTTCGTCGAACATTTCTTCGGCCGGTATCGGGAGGCTCGCGGCGGCAATGGCAGCGGTGCCGGCCGTGGACCCTTCTCCACCCTGGATCCCGGCGCCGTTGGCGGCCGAGTACCCCGCGTTCTGCTGCGGCGCGGGAGGCTTGCTCTTGTGGACGGCGGCGCGGGCCCGCTGGTTGCCGCTCCGTTCTTCCATGGTCTGCAGGGTGGACACCAACTCCGCCTCGCGGCCCTTGAACTGATCCATCATGGCGTCCACCTTTTCCGTCTCGTTCGGGAGGACGATTCGGACCAGTTCCTCGACCTGGGTGCGGTATTCGGCCCGCTGCTCGAGGATTTCCGAAGTCGTGGTTGCGGAGGTCTCGGAATACACCGACCCTTCGTCCGAACCGCTGTAGTCGGTATACGAATCGTCGTCGTCAAAGTCCATTTCTTCACTATCGCCTAATGGAGTCTTCGACATGGTGGAATCAACGTCGCTCTTTCCAAATGACTTTGTGGCATTAACGACGGCGTCCCAGTCGCCCTTGTCGATAGCATCGTTCATGTCGTCGTTCTTCTTCTTTAGCTCGTCGCCCATCAGTTTCTCGCTCAGAGACTTGGAGTTGTCGCTGAAATCCGCAGACGATACGGAAAAGGATTCTTGCTCCACAGCGTCAATGGCAGAGTTTTCGCTGATTGGTTCGGAGTTCTCCTCGCTTGGGTCCAGTTCACCGGATTCGTAGGTGTCGTCATCGGAGCTAAAAGATTCTTCGGAACCTTCCCCGGATCCTTCTTCTCCCTCTTTTTTGTCTCCTAATGCCGAACCTTCCCCAAAGAAGTCCTCGTCTCCATCGGCATCGGCATCGGCACCCCATCCCGGGGTAGACGACGACGGATCTGAGCCAAAGACGTTGTCCGCACCCCATGTTGGACTTGCAGTCGAGCCTCCAAATGCATTGTCTTCATCAACACCCGACCTTTGATCGTCCTCGCTGTCTTCCTCGCTTTCAGCTTCGGATGGTTCCTCGTAGTCATACTTATGGTGATTAACCGAAGTTCCATACGATTGGGTTCCATCTCTCGACTCCAAACCAAAACCCCCGAAGTCGTCGTTCTTCTTCTTCTTCTTGCCCACGAATCCAAACAAATTTTGTCTTTGTCCTTCTTCGTCATTGTCTTCCTCGTCGTCGCCAAAAACGGAGCTTTTGAGGCCAAAGGGACCACTAGCAGAACGCTCGTCATCACCTTGAACTAGACCTCCTTCGGCGCCGTCCTCCCCTTTGATACCAACACGACGTCTACGACCGTCCAAGAAGGCAGGAAGCTTTAAGCCAAAAGGTAGATCGAAAGGAACTCCCTTGACGAGAACATAAATTATCGCACAGATGATGACTATGGCAAATAAGGCTCCCACAACGGGTCCCGCTGCACTCTTTTTCTTTTCCTCCTCTTCCTTTTCTTCTTCTACTTCTGGTGCCGTAGTTGGGGGATCGGTTATTTCAATTTCTGGAAGCACGGGATAGCTAGCATCAACAATTCTTAGGGTGGTCCTCGGGTCGACTTCTTTCAAGACGATTTCCAAAAACCGATTAGAGATAAGACTCTGCGTATAATTGGTGTAAACCCTGCTAACTGTTTGTGGGTCCTCTTCATCTATAGTGAGTTGGAATTTGGCAAAGGCAATTTGGCATTTTTCTACTGACGATAGACCTTCGGGACAATCAATGTCATCGAGTATGTAAATTTCGGGGCTGTTTGGCGCAAGGTCAACTCCAAGCTTTCGGCGTCGCAAGCGGTTTTCTTCTACCAGTGTACCAATCACTATGTCGCTGTCTTCAATAGCTCTCTCAATAAAGATCGTATATGCTTGATCTAGACCATCTCGGTTGAGTCCCGATACCAGGTCATCTGCTGTCAAACCTCCTCTGTTAGAAACTATGAACGAATTGTAACCTTCGGAAATCCCTGGTGGAAATGTCCCTTCAGTGACTATGACAGGTGCCTCTGTCCATCCTTCCGTCTGGCTATACGCGACGGCTACGTTCAGACAAATTTGTTGTAAGAATTCCTCTTGGTCTTGTTCGGGCGATTCATCAGGTTTTGCTCCATATGTATATATACCATTTCCATCTTCAGAAACCAAGCTGTTGTAAGTTTCTGGCAGTGGTGATGGGAGTTCCTCAAATGTTAATCCCTCAAACGCTTTTCCTGTTAATCGAACAACGAATTCTGTGTATTCATCTTGATTCATGTAATCATCATCATCCGGATCCGATGAAGCAATGGCTATAAGACAGGTGCTTTCGTCGAAGGTAGGTGGCAAACTCATTTGTCCACTCGGCTCGACCGAGGGGATTCCAACTTCCACTTCCACTGGAGTTGGTGTTGGTGTTGGATCAGGATCCGAAATTCCATTCAATGCATTGCCTGTTTTGATACAAATATTCTCCAAATGTTCTTTCTCTTTCACACTGATACTTTTTTGGTCGGGTTTCGATCCATAGATAGAAATCTGACCATCCTCTCCTGCAAGTTCCGAAAAGTTCTTTTTCAAAAAAGAATCTAGTTCCTCGAAGGATTGCCCAATAAATTCGTTATTGGTCAATCGATTCAAGAATATCACGTATTCCTCTTCATTTAAGTTGTCGTTTCGTTCCAAATCAGAAGAGGCCATGGATCTTTGGCAAAAAAACAGGTCAAAGGTTGGAGGCAATGTGTTGGCTGGTTGTCCTGCTGGTGCCTGGGTCAAGGTTGCTCCAGGGTTTTGTATATTCCAGTCTGTCTCGCAGCAAAAAAAGTCAAGGAATTCGTCTTGTTTATCTGACACACGTTGGCCTGGTTTAAGTAATATTCAGTATCAAGGGTGAGCAACCGCCGTGGTAAAAGCGCTAGACAATTTAATCAGAAATCTGCTGTTCACACGATTGTGACTTTCGGTCCCCTACACTCACCTGGCTTGCTACCTGAGATGTCTACCTGTCCATCAACTGTCACAAACTTCTTGTGATTTTCTTGTATGTTGCTCGGTAATTCCTCAAATCGGTACCTCGCATATTTATTATCTGACAGCCTGTTTACAAATTTAACATAATCCGATTCGTCCAAAAGATCGTTCTGGTAGGAATCAGAAATCGACAGATCTACGTTGCACTGTGCCCTTTCAATCATCTTGCTACAATCCACTTCCGAGACATCAACGACGACCACCGAATTGCTGTCACCGGGAGGGCTTGTAGGAGCAACAACTGGAGTTTTTGGTTTGCTGTTTGAATCGAGAATGCTGGCTATCGTTGATTGGCATACGCCACTAAGTTGTTCATCTTGCTCTTCTGTTGCAGCGGAACCAGGGCGAAACCCTGCAACGTCTATTCCTCCCTTGCTAACATCGGCAAAGTTATTATAATTGTCCTTCAGGCCTTGGGGTAATTTATCAAACGAGGAATGAGCGTCGTAGTCGCTGTTTTGTTTGCTCGCTAGAAGATTTACGAACAATACGTACTCTTCCTGTCCAAGCATTTCGTCTCGGTTGCCATCTCCTACCCCTAACGCAACCTTGCACTGCTGGAGTTCACTTTGACGCTGTAAATTCCGATAGTCTATATCTGAAAGATGCGTCTCCACACCTATTATTGTGGGTCTTCTTGTCGATAATGGTATTGCAGCAATTGTTTCAGGGAGAAACATAGAAAAAATGGCAAGAGCAGTGATGGCAGCTGGTGTAAATTTCCGTATCAATATCGACTGGCCGCATAAAAAGCTTGTCGCTTTTTCTTTTGACGACGACATTCGATTTCTAGCCCTCTTCATAGGATGCCGCCGAAAAGTTTCACTTTGGCAAACGGAAGAATGAAAATGTTCGGAAGGCCGAGATCTTCCCCACTGGGAGATACGATGCATCATTCCAGAAGAAGAATTCATTTTATTATCATTGATCGATGAAGCGGACGTCGATATCGAAACTGTTGCTCTTTCACTTCGATAGTTCGTCATTCGAAATAGCGTTTTTCGTTCTACTCCTCTTTGTCAATGTCAGTCGAATCGCAGGTTAGCGTTCCTGAAGCACTGTGGATTGATTTGGTGCTCAAGTGCTGCTAAATTTCTGCCTTGCGAGTGTAGTACTAAACCGCCAACGAGTTCTGAGGTTGTTGGCACGGACAGGAGCGGGTTGATTTGCGGTAAATTTCAGTTTATCGCTTGCAACAAATTCACCCCAACATTCGTCGACTGAAATACAGATGAAACAATCCACAATCTTCGGTCTTCAATTCATGCAATTGTTGTTCAAACATTTGAAGTAGAAAGTTTCCAAAATTTCCTTCTTTGCTCCATGTATTTTTGGCCGTTCTTTTTCGAGTTTCGAGTGATTGAGGAACCTGGCGGAAAAAAGTCCGCTTTGTACGATTAACACAGAAGATGAGTATGAATGACTTATCAATACTTGTTTTTAGCTTTTTTTTCAGAGACATGAGGAAAATTTTTGGACGTCAACAATATTACTGTTCTCAATGGACATTGAAGCACGACTGCCGTAAGTTGTAAAGTGCGCGCTAGCCGGGAAAGAATGGGTCATTCCCGATAACATATTTTCCGGTATGTTTTCGGGAATCACATTCAGTGGTACAGAAGACACAGACAGACAGCTCAACTTACATATTTTCCCCC